GATGCAACTTCGTATCAATATTAGATTGAGTCCGAAAATATATCTTGGTAATATTAACGACCCTTACTTCAATATTCAGTGAATTTTCCAGAGATGCATCTCTGAAATATGCTCTATTAGGGAAAACCATAAACAATCAGAATTAATGATAGAATGTTAGAAAAACAACGTAAATTAACATCAAAATAACATTACATAGATAATTGTTAGCATATATTTAACATTACATTTCATTACAAACGGGTAGCTAAAGACGTTGCAACATCCTTAGAATATCTTCAGTTGATCTTGCAATCGTCGCATCCACTTCAATTGGATCCTTTGATGAGTAACAGTAAAATATACTCCATATAACCTTTAAATCCACACTCGTCTTTTGTTCAAGCTTGATGAATCGTATCTTTCTTTCATCGTCAATTGAGTGTGAATGATACTTAGGCTTGACAACTCTTTGATTTTCTAGATATCGCAAGATAGTGTTCAATTTGGAATTCAGATCGACGGGAGGTATGTCCTCAGAGACCCGAAATTGGAGTGGGGGCTTTGTGCCATTGAAATACACAAAAATAAGATGGGGATATATGTATTCATGCTGGTTTGTTATGTTTTGTGAAGCACATGAAATGAGTGGTCTTATTTATATAAGTTTTAGATCAATTTGGACCTTAGAAACAATATACTTTCATCATGGCATATTTCAAATATGCATTTTTGGACACCCCTTTTTTACAAAATAAGGGTTTTTACGGAGACGCACATTCATAAAATCCTGTGTTTTTGTTTTTTTACAGTTAAAAGGAGGTGTATCTGGAGATGCATATCTACACTCACCCAAAACATTGTTGATACAGAACCAGTATAATATGCAATGCAAACTTTAGAAACAAAAAAAAATCATCCAAAAATTACCCACAAATTCTATAACATTAAAGTAGAATAGACATTGTGTAAGTCTCAAATTATATTGAGATTACATCATTGACAACTACATACAAAAAATGAGTTATATTGTTAGATAAAAACTAAAAAATATCAGAACTTGTGTCACTCCCTAAATCTATTGGTGGTTCCTTCTTTGACCTTTCCTTGTTTGATTTTTTTTCAATGTCGCTCAACTTGGTGAACTCTTCCATCCTTTTCAGAAAGTGATTCGGCCAAGTTTCATTATCTTGTGTGAAATGTGTCCTCCACTCCAATAATATCTTTTGTATAGAACATCTCAGTTTCAAATAAAGTTAAACAAAATATTGTGTTTTTGAAAGCCACCCAATACACATGATGCACCCTGATGGATTTTGACGTGGCCTACTCTAAAATTGAAAAAATTTCCAAGAAACCATGTCTTGTCTGATCAATACACACCCAATCATAAGCACTTGCTATAAAATGTCTCATTTCCTGTAAATGCATCCATTTTTCAAATGGTACCGGATCACTAACATAAAGAACAAGAGCATTGATAATTGCATCATTATTTTATTTTATTTTCCCGTATAGAGGTGTTTATGACTCTCTATGCATCGACAACGCTTGTATAAGCTTATGGCATAAGAATTGGTAGTCCTCCTCTCCTTTACCGAACAAACCTGAAACAGCTCAAAAACCATAATTGTTGTCATCTTTAACATCTACAATTTTCTCAATGTGTATGTGCATAAAAAGTGACATATCTTCAATGTGGTTGACAGTGGAGGAGATGGTTTACTAATGCGAGTATCTTTGAAAACACTTTTTTGAGATTTTGAAGTTGGCGAATTTGGATAATGTGTTTCACCATGTTCAAAGTATGAATGAGATTGTCTCGTAGAATTGTCATTGTGTGTCAGTTTGACCATTTTAGGGGAACTCTTTGTTTTAACCAGTTTCGACGGTGGACTCTAATCTATTGTTTTTGGATAGGCAATCTTCCTCACCTACTATTTGATGTGCAATTTCATGATGTCATCACTTTCGAAAATCTCTCTTGGATTACTTCTCATTTAGTCATAATAGTTATACTTGATTTATCATTGGTCATTTCCCCATCATCATCAAACCAAAGCATTTTCCAGTGAGTGTAAAATTTATCCATGTGTATCGATTTATCAAGCTTCATCTTCTTTGAAATTAAACAATCACATAGAAGACCATATGTCTTCCTAAGTGTGCAACCATACTTTGAGCCATCTGAACCTGTTTTACCTGCTCGCTTGACTTCGTGAAAAATAAAATCCAATATCGTCCAAGATATATTTCCAACCAACTATGAGTAAAGGATGTTGTCTTTGGATTAGTATTCTAACACAGTAATGCTCCGACCAAAAGATATATGTATCTCATTATGTTGGAAACATCGTTGTGACTAAATTCATCAGTGTTGTGTCGTAATCGATGACAATTACTTTTGGTATGTTTTCTTGGTCCTTCAACATAGTCTTACACATTTTCAAAACTCGTGTAACGTTGTCCTCTTTTTCAAATTCCAAAAATAAAAATTTGAATGAAAAAGTCATCTCCGTAGAAGTAACACTAACAATTTCCAGGAGTGAAAGTCTATACTTGTTTGTTTTGTATGTTGAAGCAATTATGAATACGGAGGAAAATGTTTTAAAAACCTTAATGCAATCGAGATGAATCTAAAATATATCTCGAATTATTACTTTATCTTCACTAACTTTGTACCTTGAAACATAATGGTCGTCCTCCAAAAGCTTCAACGTTTGTTGCATTTCAGATCTTGAACCTCTTATCACCTTATTGTTTCGGGCACGCATATTGTATACTATTTTATATTTGAAATATTTTGAGGTCTTATCCGTTTCAAAGTTACAAATGTGTTTTTCGGCACCACCGTGTTTAAGTTCTTTCTCCTCCGGAATAACGTGACATACAGTTGGATGACCGACTAGCTTGTCACCAAAAACCACATTAAATTTTCATGTATTATTCGCTTTACTGTTTCTGCGCAATTTAAACGAACACTTATATTTTCTCGATCTAGTGTCGTCACGTTTCAACTTCTTAATCTGAAGTTGGTATTTGCCACTTCGTTCGCATCTTATTGTTACAAATTCTTGTCTTCTATCAGAACTGTTATCAGACCTTCCGATTGCAACGTCATACCTCAATTTTTTTGCCTTCATGCAGACACGTAGTATATGTTCACGAACAATAAACTCTTGTTTATTTGTAAATTGTTCACAAACATCAACCTCGACAACAATCGATCTAACAATTGGTTTAACATCATCTGATTTAACATCATCCTTCACTTCAACCGGTTTAACATCATACTTCATGTCTTCCAGTTTAACATCAATCGTTATAGTAGTTTTGGAAAATATATTTGAGTGCACCATATCTACTATCAAAAAAACAAAAACAAAAAACAGATTTAAAACTTAAAGTATCATACAAATTCGGAAATAGATCTCCGAAACACGTGCAACTTAGTTCGGAGATGCACATCCTGACTCAACATTCTTTTTACAGCTAAAAAACATATTGTTGCAAGAAATGAGGATGAAATGATTGAATTTTATCTTAAATTTCAACTTATTTTGCCCTCTTTAATGTGATAAAATACAAGAATGATGTTTTGGTGTTGAAAACTTGATTGAGAATGAAAAAAAAATTTAAGGATTTTGAGAGTGAAGTTGAGTTTCAACATAAAGAAGAAGAACATGCAAGGTGGTGTTTTATTCAAATTTTCGTTTGACATTTCCGGGGATATACATCTCAAAATCGTCATCAAGTTGACAAAGAAACCAACACAGTGAATAAAAACACTATGATTAGTACAGAGGGTGTTACGAAGTCGCATTTCCAAATACACCCCAAATATAATACGGAGATGCATCTTCGAAATAGATTTTGGCAAAATGAAATGGTTGGCTGAAATACGAGGACTGGTGTGATTTTAGCGACGTCTGAATATGCATTTTTCTAACGCAACAAAGACATTTTCAAAGGTGTAGAGCGTATCATATAAGATGGGATAAGTATTTCCCAAAATCTTAGTATTCTCTAAATTTCACATGTGATGCGTTTTTCACAACCCAAATCCTCATAATTGACTCAATCTTGTGTGTCGATCCCTCTTAACAGTCTCGCAACTTGCCCATCACTCTTGATTCTTGTTTTCTTAATTTCCAGCCCTCGAGCCTTAAGGATAGATAGGTTAAGTGGTACTCAACGAATCATTGAGCCTTAAGGATAGATAGGTTAAGTGGTACTCAATAAATCATATTTGTACCATTATCACTTTATAACAATTTTCTAGATAACCTTGTCAGAGTTGAATTCGGTGCTTACTGCAACGTCTTTTTAGATTTTGGATTTCAAAATTTTCTAACTACTTTCTCTGTTTAAAATGAATGTCGTTTAAAATTTTTTCACAGATTAAGAAATATAATAATGTTGTCATAACACATTACATTTTTACTAAATTAATCCTTTAAATATATTAAAAATAGTGTAAAGTGTAATAATTAAAAGACACAATTGAAAAAAACCTTCTAAATTTCTTATTATTGAACTTGCAATTACTAGAAGAATAAAATTTGGACACATTTTAACTGAATTTCAATGAATATCCGTTGTCATTTTTATTTTTAAAATAAAGGGAGGAGTGTCGTCTAAATTTAAATTCAAGAAACAAGTATTACATGAAGGAAATTAGCTTTCAAAAGAAATAAAACAAGTTACAAAAACTGGCTTTAACCTTTAAGAGGAAACTTTGTATAATATGATCAATCATAAATTTCATAGTATCATTTAAAGCAAGTGTAATTCTTAAAGAGAATAACAAATAAGGGGGGCAATAGAGACAAAGAAGAAAGTCAATAGATAACTAATTTAAATTAATTCATGTCTAAAAAATAACCTCTCCGTTCAGATTTTACAGCTTAGCAGATGGATGTTAATACATGCCTCAGCAAAATAACATAACAAAACAAAACTGGACCTTCGATCGGGTCATGCCAAACTTCAGGGTACAATTGTTTGACAGTTGATCATCACTACTTGCTGTATTGCATTGTCATCGTTTTCTTCTTTAGTTTTTTAACTCTTTTCGTCTGCTTTTTCACAAAAAAAGTTCCTGTTCTCTTGTTTTCTACAGTTCTCTCGTCTTCTGGCTGCTTAACACCTTTTCTCTTGTTTTCCATTAAAGCAAGTCTCATCTCCTCTCTGCAGGAATCACAAAATACTTAGATTTTTTAAGGGTTATTATGTCAATAAACTGCTGAGAATCTTTATTGAATCCGAATACACATTCTTTCATGAATATCAAATATGAATAAAAGACTTTACCTGGATTTTGAAATCTCCTCTTTTGATGGAAATTTCGTTTTCACCCTTTTCTTGGGAGGTTCTGAAGATTCTTTGACTTTACTACTTGGTTTTGAAAGGATTTTCTCACTCTTCCTCTTTTTGGATTCAGATTCTGCAGATTCTTTGACATTACTACTTGGTTTGGAAAGGAATTTCTCACTCTTCCTCTTTTTGGATTCAGATTCTGAAGATTGTTTTCCATTTTCTTTTACGCCAATGCTTGGTTCATTGTCGTCCTTCACAAGCTCTGTTTCTTCTCCGTCACTCACAAGCTCTGTTTCTTCTCCGTCATTCACAAGCTCTGTTGCTTCTTCTTCCTTCTCAGATGGTTTTGGACCAGGTTTCATTTTTTTCAACTGCAAGTCATCAAATCAAATTAGAGTATTAAAAACAAGAGAAATTCTTGCATGGAAACGAACCTATAAGAGAGAAAATTTAATATTTATTTAAAATTTAGTTTCTTTTTTAATTAGAATCATGGGAGGTTATGATAATAAAGGAGAGAAAAAATATTATTTTTATTTTTAATTAATAAAAAAACTGTGATTGGTTGTTTCTAAAACCACTATGATTGTGTCTACCTATGAATTTTCTTAAAAACAAAGCAAAATTTTGTGAATGGGAACAAAAATAACAAAAACTGAGTGAATGCAAACAAACAAAGCAAAATTAAATAAAAACGAGGATATAATAAACCTTGGCAACAAAAAATCCATCCATATTGTGTACATGAGGATAAAAACGTCTTGTCTTATCTAATGAAGGGTGAAACCGCAATTCCCTAAATTTGGTGAACCTGAAAGAGAACAAATGTAACAATACAGACCATTACTAAAAATACAACAATGTTGTAAGGGGAAAATAAGCTACAATTATTACCCTGGACGCCCAAAGTCAAGTCCACAAGGGACCAGTTTAACATTCCTCCTTTTCAGAGCGTAATCAATAACTGCTTCATTCTGAAAAATATTTGTGAAAAATTTAAAAACATAAGACACAAAATGCAAGCATATAAATTCACTGGATGCAAGTTGCAACTGAAAAACAAACCTCGGCAACCATGATTGAGCACGTAGAATATACAATGTATCCCCCAGATTTTGAATTAACATCTACCATGTCAATTGCAGCAAGAAGGAGCTCCTGTAAAAGAACAAGGTGATTACTAAATATCACTGAATGGCACAAAAATATGCAGGATATTGTACAATTTCACTATAGCCATTTAATGGAGAACAATTTACAAGAATGAAGTAGAAGTTATTTAGGTTTGGGAATTTGTCCCCCATTTTTTTTGTAAAAAATGGCAACTCTGATATCACATAGAGTGGGAAAAAAAAGCTGGACGGGTAATTCGGCCACTATTTAATGGTGCGGTACGAGGATCAAATATGCTAGATCTATTTCAACTTCAACACTTTGACACCATTTGACTCTCAACGTGAATACAAGGTCAAATATAAGAAAGAGTAAACCAGTAAATAAAAATCGTAAGTTGAAAATGAAAACAGCAATTTAGTCTCTAAAATACACACAAGTCATGCTTCGGCGGAGGGAAGATAAAAGCAGCAGAAGCAACAAAAGTATACATCACATTTATATACTTTATTCCTCTCACATCCTACTTACATTTTGCTCATTTCTCCCAAACAAAACTTTAAACAAATATTAATTTACCTTCTGTAGATGGGCACATTTCTTAATATCTTCATAGTTTTTAGATGTTTTAACTGACTCATCTTTGGATATAACCTGCAGACATAAATTATTTTAGTGCCTTTTTTGGTTCTTAAAGACAACCAGATACAATAAAACTTCAAAAAATCTTTATCTATTTATTCACAATTTCTTACCCCAGTTCCACTGCAAGGTGCATCCAATAATACCCTATCAACAGAATTGAGACCCAAAACCTTTGGAAGCTGAAAAATAACAGCATAAATGAAAAACATAAGCTAGATGTTGTGTTACATGCAAAATCGTGAATACAACTGAAATGGCCATGACTTGAATCCCCAGAGTAGAATTAAATTGCTGTGGATTACCCACAACACAGGATAACAATGATTACAAAATAGGCATTCACTCAAATGATAGTGACCAATATAGGAGGTAGTTTTCCAAATTTAAAGCATGTACAATTACAGGTTTTCTAATCAGAGACAATAGTGACCAAAAGGAAGTAGTTTTCTAATCAAATGTGTGTACAATTACAGGTTCGAGGCCTGCTATGATCACCAACATTGTATAATGTCTAAAGAACCACTATTAACAATATAATAAACACAATGGTTTATTGTCTAGATGAAGCCCAGCATCTTACAGCAGCATTAATTCTTGTAACAAAAAATATACCAATGCTTAAAGTACATTATACTGTCTGCGTTTCCCTTATTACAAATAAGGAGGAATAATATTGTTTTTCTGCTGCAGACTAGTAAAAATTAGTAAACTAGTAAACTAGTAAAAGTTAAAGGAGTAAAAAGTCTAAGAGATGCTAACCTCCTTCCCGTCATAGTTGCAGACTACAGTATTTGATACACCCATCCGATGCAAATTTGCAGTCAGAGATTTCAGTCGTGGTACCTTTATTTCATTTGCAAAAATTATTCCTGCCACCAATAAATATAAATTGATTACTCGAATCATAAAATTACAATGTAAAAAAGTAAAGATCTAACAAATGATAAGCAATTAGTTAAAACAAATTCTTGGATCCAACTAGTAATAAACCTATCACATTTAAAATTCAAGGATTTTAAATTTCTTCATTTTTTTTTGTTATTATAAGAACTCTATAGGAACGACCCAAGGTGCTGATTGTGTACAGTGTACTTATGCAGAATGAGTAGAGCTATTGCAGGACACGACCTATTATGAAGAAAGCACCTCACCAGTTATAACTTCAAACTGATACTAAAAGTATAGCTACAATGAAAAATGAAGTAAAATGCTTGGTTCCTCTTGATGCAAATACTAATTTTGTATCATTGATGTAATTCAAATCTTATCCACAAGATATTTTAAAAGAATATACAAATATTTATTCAAATTAAAAAACAGCATATCATTCACAAAAAAGAAGTTTTAAGCTACTTTTGCAAAAGAGCTGCATTATTAGATGATTTTTTGTTAAACACAATTCAGCTGCACTGCATACAGAATGTAATATTCTCTTGAAGGACATTTGATAAAAACCAAATTTTATATTGAAAAAATGTAAAGAATAGTTCCAGCAAGCATGAGAAATAATTGCATAATCCATCCCACAATATTGGTTACATAAATACACAAGCCATGCTTTACTGCTATGAGAAGAACTTAATAATTTGTTATGCTCTAATGTACAGGAAACTTAGAATACAATAAATATACCCGAGTTTTTCATTAGAGCAGCAATGTAAGTTGTTTTACCACCAGGAGCAGCCCTGCAAATCCCATAAAATGTCTTCAGTGATAAAAAAAACTTTGCAAGAAAAAAAAACATGTTCAAGAAGAACTGGTATTAAAAAATTACAAAATCTTCCAAATCTCCATGTTTATTTTGAAAAAATTCTTGAACAAAGTGCCTTCATTAGACAAAAATAGAACTAGCTATAAGGGCATCACAGTAGGTCTTGGCAAAAGGTTAAAACTGAAAAGAAACTAGATTATCCAATTTGATTTTGAATGTCGGTTATTGTTATTTATTTAACTTCGTTGCCAAGAATTTGGGTTTGATACCAAATTATAGGAAATTCAGTTTTTTTTAACGTTAATGTTGTGGCCAATAAAAACAGGAGAACACTAAATATACATTAAAAACAGGAGTTTCTCAATCCAATCCCTATAAACATGATGGTGTGTGTGGGGTGGGGTAGGGGGTAGTGGAAGGATCCATCTGGTAGTTCAAAACACCATGGAAAATTTATATGGTTGGTTCCTATCACAGAAAAGTAACTGACACATTTACACAAAACTCAAATCCATAGTCCGCGTGAAAAGAATATCACTTACGCCATATCAACAATTCGTTCCTTTTCTTGAGGAGCCAAGGCCATCACAGGCAGAAAAGAACTAGCACTTTGAAGCTGCAAAAAGTTTTAAAAAAAAAAAACAGAACTGAGTGTAATTGGGATCCTAAATGAAATGAAGAACTACTACAGCAGAAAACCACTTACCATGTAAAAACCAGCCATGTACTCTGGAGTGGCACCAATTGGTACTTGAGAATCATACACTACAAGTCCAACCTGCAAATAGAAACAAAATATATGGTCTCAGATACTGCTATTTGGATTCATGTACCCATAAAAAAGACAAAAGAAAGCTAGTGAAAACATTTAAAGCATACTTTTGACCATTTGCTCAGGGGATCCAGATTTACTCCTCTGTTTATCAAGACATCTGCCAAATCCCGTCTACGTGTCTGATTAAATTCAGAAGACATATATAAGGTAAATCAGGGACATGGATAAAGTCACATTAACAAATCAACACACTGTAATAGAAATAGACATGAAACCTTTAAAGTGTTTGTCCTCAGACATATAGGGCGAGGCTTCTCAAAAGCTTCAATTAATTCCATCAGTTCAACAACCGGAAACATCTGAGACAAAAAATAGTTTCAAATAAGCCCTAATTAAAAAAAAAATCAAAAAAACAGATCTCCATTGTCCAGACCAGCAACTTGAATTAAATGGTAAAAATTGGATGGAGTGCTCAATGAAATTAAAGTTAAAACAGAGGCAGCAATAAAATAATGTTTCCAACCTCCACTAAAGCACCTATTAGGAACTCATTGTAGCCATAGTATGAGCGTATATCATTCTTAAGCTGTCCAATATATTCCTTCCTCGTCGACTCATCTTGCCTCAACGCCTTAAAATTGGAAAGAACCCGGACAACTGGAAAAGCAAAAGCATTTAAATATTTTCGACGTCTCAACAAACAATTCAAAAATTGTTCCAACAGTAATAGTCAGTTAACTTACTCTCTTTAATCCTCCTTTGAAGATTGGAAAGATCTGGTGGACGCAAAGCCTCTTCCTCAAGTTCCTATCAGTTAAAAGGTGACCATTTTTAACATACGTTGTAACAAAATCAAATGTAGAAATCCAAGTTCAGGGGATTTAATACATATTTAGGATATACAATGAACAATGTCAAAAGTGATTTTCTTCAATACAAATTCGATTTTAGCATGTTTGGTAACCTTAAATCAGAATTGACTTCAACTAGTTTCATTAAAAATTCTAATAAATACCTTTCGTATTGGATTGAATACTCCATCTAAGCTATGGATTAAAGTTCCTATGTTTAATAATTTAAGTAAATCCATAACAAAATGATAATCATCATCATAAGATAAATTCAAAATTAAATTAAACTAAAATAAAAAAGAAACCTCTTTGGTTGGTAATCTAAACTCATCAGACTCTTCTTGAATATTAGTCTGCATTTCAGCTTCAGCATCCTCTTTCTCTCTCTCCCTAGCTTCATCAATAGCTTTAGACTTCTTCTCAATATCACCATCATCGTCATCCGAATCAGAATCCAACTCCGAACCAGACTCCGAACCTGAGGCTTTCTCTGCAAAAGAGAATCAAACATAAGCATCAAAACACCATTACAATTTCCAAGTTCGAGTATCATGAAAGCATATACAACAATACAAACCTTCGTCGTCGTCGCCCTCGTTGTCGCTTCCTTGAAGGAAATCGTCGGCTAACTGATCGTCGTCGGAGGATAAGTCTGAATCGGAACCAGAGTCATTGCCGCCGTCGTCGTTGAGTTCAAACTGCTGTGGCGGTGCTTCTTCTTCGGATTCGGAGGAGGAATCGTCTTTAACGGGAAGAATTTGTACTTTTTTTGGAGCTTTTTGGAGTTTGGGTGACTTTGAAGGTTTGCTCCTGGTTGCTGGCGCCATTGGAGAATGGAAGAGTGTGAAGGATTTGTGTGTGTTTTCGTGTTTTGTTATTTCTTCAGCTAGGGTTTAGGGTTTACAATTAACCCTTTTGAACGACGTCGTTCGGAGGTATAAGGAATTTAAATGGGCTCATTTCGGGTTGGGTCTTGCTGAAGCCAGTGTTTGGAAGAATCTACCTCCGAACTTCGAGACTTTTACCTGCCACCCTTTCTATTATGCCAGGCACCCTCAATTTTTTTTATTTCAAAATTACCTCAGACATTATTTACCTCTAAAAAAAATTATAGTCGTCAAAAAAACTTTCTTATTGGAGAAGGGTGAAAAACTAAATTCCTTGTATGCGTAACGAAATTTTTCATATTAAAATTTTGCACTTCACTGAAAAAAAATTTGTATTTTTTAAATTTCTAGTAGCGATTTATTAGAAAATTCAAATTTTTTGGAGCGATTTATCGAAAATTTTAAATTTTTCGGGAAATTCTAAGAAACCTAAGCAATATACCGCAAATATTCAAAATTTCTGGTACGTGACGTAATATCGAAAATTTCATATTTTCAGCTGTATATCAAAAATTTCATATTTTCAGCTATATATCGAAAATTTTATATTTTCGGTTGTATATCGGAAATTTCCAATTACATTGAAATTTCTTGTATGTTTGCAAATGGAATTTTGTATTTATATGGTCTAGAGTCGACGTTTCTTCTACGAATTCGTGTAAATATTATACAGAGTTCTTCACCATCGATAATGTATGTTTCATATTGAATTAATGCAGTTTTATTTATTTTCCGTCATATATATGAATTTGATAAAGTTTAATAATTATATATTGTAACTGGCAGATTTTTAACACCCGAGCTGAAGTTTTAGCATGGACACAGTCTACTGGTAAATAGCATCGCAATATTGTTGTCATTGTTCGTTCTGATTTTACTAATGGGATGTGAGGGAGGAAGGATAAATTAATCATGGGTTGTGATGAGAGGAGGAAATTACAAAAGGAAAAATGCATCGGAAACCACTAATTCTTCTGATAGCATTTATAGTATGAAGGTTAGATGTCCATTTATGATGAGATATGTTTCAAATGGTATTGGTTAGAATGTGATGGTTAGATGCGGGATGCACAACCATAGAATAGATAATGATTTGGAAGGGCATGACATATTGGATTGTCTAAAAGATCGTGAAAGAAAGTTTTTGAATGACATGACGAAGTACAATATGACTCCACGGTACATAGTTTCTGCTTTGAAAGACAAAGATCCAGAAAACTTCACGAGTGTTACCTAGGTTTATAAAGCTAGATCTACATACCGAGTGGGCAAGAGAGGTGCATTGACAAAAATGTAAATGACATTGGGACGAAGAGTTATGGTCTTTGGTTCGGACGCAGTTAGATTCTCAAGTTCATCAAAACTCTCAGTTGTTTTCCAAGTTGTTATATGACATTGTCTATGCATATATGGGTTATGAGTAGAAAACTTGGGTGTGTAAAATAGGGGAAAATGGATGTTGATCCCTTATATGGGTTATCTTATTGCTTCAAGATACAGTGTCGTATTTGTTTCTCTTTCCATGACACTTAACGTCACATTTTCCCCTTGTCATAGCTTCATCCATGTATAAGTAGACATACAATAATTGTTGTTGGTGTTGTCAGTCGTAATCATTATATTCAGATAAAGTTGAAACCTAATTGCCCATTGACTCCCGTCACTGACCGTTGGAGACAAAATTATAATGATGATGCAAAAGCAAGGGAATCAACATATGGGGGTCGCTTTAGAGACTGGAAAGAACTATGTAGCAAGTCATTGTAGTTTGTTTGTTATGGAAACATGTATGACAGTTATTTTACCGATTTTATTTTTCAAGAGACACTCCTATAAAAATGGGGAAAATTAAACTACAATATTACCAGAAATTTCAAATTTCCATAATTTTTTGTGCTTACCGGAAATTCCAAAATTTCTTGTAAAATGTAACTGGTCACCGAAAATTTGGAATTTCTGGTACCAGAAATTTAAAATTACGGTATCGCCCATGGTAAAAATCAATAACTTTAATGAAATTTCCAGTATTTGACAAAACTTTCGGTAAATTTCATAATTTCCGATAATAATCAAGAGTATTATTGTATAGTGTCAAAAAATAGGGGTGTTAAGTATAAGTGTGGGGTGGCAAGTAAAATCCTCATGAACTTCATTTTACCATAATACCTTCAAAGTTAAAAAAAAAAATCATTTTTTCATATTAAAATTTTCATTTTTAGATTTTTTGCAAATAAACATAGTTTTCTACCAAAGATTTGTTATTTATGCTTGACATTTACAAATAAGTGTTCATATCGAACTTTTTGATAAAATATTAGACATTTAGGCTATGTTTGAATTGATGGAATGAAGCGAAATAAGATGAAACAGAATGGTATATAGTTATGTTTCATTGTTTTGATATCTGAAAAAAGGATGAAATAGAGCCGAATATGACGAAATGCATTTCATCTCATTTTCTTTTCCTTTTTTAGAGTCCCGCAAGTAGTTTTACAGGAGATTACAAGTATTCAAATGGCTTTTCTTTGGAAAGGGGAGGAGCACAAGCGTATGATCAATTGGGTTTCGTGGGCGGAGGTTTGTAAATCTAAATCAGATGGAGGGTTGTGAATTAAGGATTGTGAGGTTTTCAATATGGCGTTGATGACAAAATGGACTTGGAAACTTTGTTTGGATCATTCTAACAGTGGGGCTGTTATTCTTAATTTTCGTTATGGAGACATTCAGAGTATTTGCTTGAACCTTCTCGGTTTCCTTCTACTTCCAAATCATATTTATGATGGAGGGATTTGAAATAAATTGTGGGAAGGTGGGGAGTTGAAGTTAATTGGTTCGGCAAAAGTATTTTGTGTAAGCTAGGCAGTGGAAATTTGATAAATTTATGGAGTTATCATTGAATCGGTTTTCAAGCTTTGAAGTTGATTTTCCCCTCTCTGTATTGGGTTGTTCCAAATAATGCATTGCTTTTTTAGGCTTTTGGATGCATGGTAGTTGGTTCTTGAATTTAAATCTTAGTGTGGTTTTGTTGTAGGATGTTGTGGCTCGCGAGCTTCGACAACTAGTGTGTATTCTGGCAGATAATCATCCTTTCCTGCAGAAGCCGGACACTTTCATTTAGTGGAGGGATCCGCGTGGATTTTTGGTTAAAGCGACGTATTTAAGGTTATTTCTCTTCGTGCAACAGGGTCAATGCAAGAATTTTCTCCCTCTCATTTGTTTTATAAGTTTGTGAAGGCTCTCATTCCTTCAAATATCTGTTTTTTCGGTTGGAGATTATTCCTTGATCATCTTCCCACTCGATTCTGACTTAGAATAAGAGGTGTTGTTGACTCTCATGGTTTAGTGTACTCCCTTTGCTTAGAAGAAGATGAATTGGCATATCACCTTTTCGTTTGGTGTAGGATATCAGCTCAAATTTGGTCAGGATTATTTGCTTGGCTGGGCATTCTGAATCTTCCAATGCGCATTAGTTTGGAGAGTTTCGAAGTTTTCGATTCTTTCTTGACAGGAAAGATTAAGAAAAATCTTAGGTGTATTCTTTGGTTTCCGATAACTTGAGTATTTGGCAGACGAGGAGTGCAATCATTTTCATAGGTGAAATAATAGATTTTCCTTAATTATTTTCTTATATTAAATCCCTCTTGTGGGATTGGTTTGGCTATTATAATAGTGGGAGGACAGAGATGTCGTGGGAGGATTGAAATGTTTTTCCTATAGACTTCTTGTATAGGGTCGGTTTGGGTTTGTTTTTTATTCTTGTTGTTCTTTCCCCTTTTTATCTCATCTATTGTATTGGGTTGGGCACCCCTAGTGCTCATTTCAATATATTTCCTTTGCTTATAAAAAAATTATTCTTTTTAATACCCTTTAATTTAAGTGAAATGAGAAAATTGGTTTATTCCATCATGAAATACCTAAATAATGGAATGATGTTTTTATTTCGCTCCACTTTATTCCATTTCTTTCTTCGATGCTCTGTTAGTTCTACAGTATCCAAACATAGTCTTAAGGAAAAACATGTATTTTTATCGTTTTTTTTTATTTAATTTTTGATACCTAATTTATGGTTTTATACCGAAAATTTAGAAAAATTAAGTATTTCATATTTTGGTTACATTTTTACAAACAAAAAAAATCTAAAATTTCGGAATGAACATTATGTGTTTATACCAGCACTTTGAAATAGCTAATAAAAATGCATATGTTCATACCAGATATTCACAAAGTTCCGGTAAAAACACATATATTTATACTGAATATTTCAAAATTGTCAGTATATGTAAGGGTGTGAGCGGGTATATCAAAAAAATCGATAGGTCAAGATTTTTTTAAAAATATTTTGGGTCTTTTTGTGTAGTGAGGAGAAGAGGAAGAGACAACAAGGTCACTACTAGATTGAGCGAGAGGGCAATTATAGAGAGTTATGGTGGAGGCGGCAGAGATGATGCAGACAATCATTTATAGACTATAGCGGGTATAGTAGTCCTCACTGGCTCTCACTATAGAAGAATTGAGCAGTCTCGCGGACCGTGTACTTTCTAGTGTATAGGAGGTAGAGTTCGTCGGGCTAAAGAGCATGATGTTGAGTCAAATGATTTTCTTTTTATTTTCACCTTTCCTTTTTTAGTATTAAAATATATATTTTTTGTAATATTATAGTGAAAACACAAAAATAAAATCATCAATACTGAGAGTATTTGTGATAATAATTTTAACTCTCAAATTGTATTGCACCTTTTCTTTTTTCTCTTTGGTTAAAATATCTATAGGCTTTTTTTCTACAATATAATTAACTTGATGTGTAAGAACAAAAGAGATCATTTTTAACATCGGTCCTAAATATCACAATCCATTCCCCCTATAAAAAATTTCATCTTCTTAAGCAAACTTAGCAAAAAATATAAAGTCGTCACGATTAATTTTTATCCTAAGACGAGAAT